AATTAATTCTGAATGTCAAGGTCTTTTGAACAACTTCAGAAGTGTATAGAGAATGGGATCATACCGTATGAATGATGCATCCAACAGATTGTTTTGCAAGAAGCTAAATTTCACTAATAAGCTGAAGATGGGGACAATTTAGATCTTCAACACACCCATAGCTTTTTTAAAAAAAAAAAAAGTTTAGTAGATTTTTAATAATTAAAAAAACCAACTGCCAATTAGAAAAAAGAAAAAAGGTTTTTCTGGGCAGGGAGGCATCTGCGAAGGCATTTATTGCCATGCCCAGCCGCTTTCCATCACTCTTACAGCTACATACTCAACAGACCCACATAGGCCTATCAAGACAGGATCCTGAGCAGAGCAGGGCTCTAGAAAGAAACTCTCCATTCCCTTGGTCTCCATTAGAAACTGAGAATCCCTTAGAAACTCTCCGTTCCCTTGATCTCGTATGTCAAAACATGGTGCACAAGCTGGGCTTGCTTTGGATGGGCCCAATTCTACAGAAGCAACTCATCATTCCGTACCATACCAATACTTTTAAAAAAAAAAAAGTCAAAGCCAGAAACTACATCCAAAAGCAGCAGAAATGCAGGCACCCTGTATTAATGAAGCCAATAATAATGTAGCATACTGGAAGGGAAAAGGACCCTTGTTATCAGAGGCCTTTGCTGAGCCCATTAGCCACCAAAGACACACTGCAACATACTTTCAACACAAGTTTTGTCTGCAACTTCTACCTTTGCCTGCGTAGTGAAACAACAGCTACTGGTGCTCCAAGATTGATTTTACCTCCCCATGTCAATCACTGACAGCAACAGCTAATCATCAGCACTAGTTACAACTTTGGCACCCGCAGCCAACAGCCAGCCACAATGCTTTTCAGGTAGGTTTGGTACCAGATTCACCACTGAAAAAAGATTCACTGTTGAAACTGCAGTTTCAGTCTAGTAACACGCAAGAAGGTACATCCCCAGCTCTCTACCTTGCTTTCCCACTTCAATCGCAGGTCTTATGCACACTAGCATCACGCCTTGTCTGTGAGGGCAGCCCTGCAGACTGCCAATTAATGGTGTGAGGCAGCAGATTTCCCACAAAAACTAGCGGAAACATGCTCTGAGCTTCAGCAAAGCTTTGAAGTCACTGGGCAGGGACTACATAGCTGAAGTAAACAGTGATGGCCACTGTCCTGACAACTGCTACACCAACTTCTAGCCTCCACAGCAGTGGAAAATTCATACGCCAATCATATGTTAAGCCCCAGTTTTCTTATCCCAAAAGGAACAAAGCCAGTTATTGTGTAAAATGGGAATGCTGAGGCACCTCATAGCTATAGGTTTGCATATTGACCACAAAGGCGAGATCAGTATTTCGGACTGGGCAGAAGAACGAGGAAGGAACACTTTGCCAGAGAGCGGTCAAGAGCCCTGCTCTTCCCACACAGCCCAGGTTTCCAGTAGGCACTGCCATCTCCAGAGACCTCCTTCAGACTGTTATTAACCATCTGCCATATTCTTGCAATTCAGCCTTTGCTGAAATTCAAGGCCAAGATTATGTCACTCTAGTCTGCCTCAACCCCAAAGGAGATGGAAGCAGCACCTTTGCTATATAAGAGTTAGCAGGAGGATACAGAAACTCTTAAACAGAAATTTGGGATAGTTCCTCAACAGCCTTCAACCAGAAGCCTGCGTTTCCTCTGAACACAAGGAAAAAACCCACACTTTGCAGAAGTGGTTTGTGCAGTGAAATCGAGCCGCCTCTGCTCCAACTTCTAGCCACGTGTAAAGATGAATTTCTCTGCTATAATGGTCACAAAAAGAGGAACTCGGACTCAAGAAGAGCACAACCACACAGAGACCTCTCAGGAGCCTGCGTAAAACACTCCAGAAACACACACCTTAAGGCAGGTCTGAAAGGATAGGCAGAGTATCATCTCTTTCCTTCAGAAAAGCACTGAATCCCAGAACCAAAAGGTTTCCCAAAACTAAAATATTCTGATTCATAACAATGCCACGGTACTCCCTCAGAACTGTGGCCTGGATGCCTTTTACTGCTACCTTCCTGTGACACACCACCACAAGGGACAGCAATGACATGCCTGCTCCTTCCCCATGGACAGCCTCTTCCAGGAAGATTCCAGTCCCCAGAAGAGACAGGAGCATAGGGCACAAAGAAGAGTCTCCATGAAACTGCTGCACTATTTTTAAGTGAAAAACAAAACCAAACCCCTTATTTTTCTAGCAAATTCTGCAAAATGTTTTTCAATATTGTTTTCCCTCTTTAGGCCAGATAGCCAGAATATTCAAATCCAGCGTGCCTTGAACTGAATTAGAAATTGAGGTCAGCTAGAAAATGAGTGCGCTAACTTTTTGTCATCAAAACTGGGCTTTTAATAAGTTATTAACACCATGCATCCATCCTGCAAGAAGCAATTACTTTTCTGACCACACAGGATAACCCTGGAATCATGGAGTTCAGCCTGAGGATGGGAACCAGCCTTCTGTTTTTGTCTCAAAATAGCATCATCATCCCAGAATATATTTCAGGGAAGGCAGGAACAGGGTTAGCCATGTGCTTTCTGCTCTGAAGTGCAGAACAGGGAAGGACACGGAAGAGAAAGCTCATAAATCAGCAGAATGGATAAAACTACCCTTGATCTGCTGCCATTTGCTAATATTTACAAGAGAACCGGGGTGGAACTATTTTGTTTCAGGCTCAGCGTGGCGAGCGTTTATTGCACCTGAGGGTGATGACAAGCACAACTTGTCAGTAGAGCCAGATCCAAACAGTTTCATATTAATCCTCCAGTGAGATTTTGATTCTCCAGGCTACTTCTAATAGGATTTTTCCAGATTTTCCCAGATTGTTTGCCTCCAACAACAGTCCAGAGAACATTACCCTGGCTGATTCTCCAAACAGTTAACATGATTAATTATTGACCAAGAAAACTGAACAGCTTCACCCCAGAGCCCAGATTACAACTCAGGCCCTGAGTTGTTATCAACTTCATAAATCCTGCTTCCAGGAGATGAGACACCAGCAAGTTTCAAAACTATGGGGCAGCAAATCCAGTATCTGGAGCTGTGCTACTAACTCTTCCAATGCCAAGAAAGGCATTGCACCACATTCTGTGTGTGGGACCATCACAGGCTTTCAGATAAACCAGCTACTGGTGAAAATGGGCCAGGAGCAGCCAACAACAGAAGCTCCTCTGAGCTGCTTCTGCACCATACAGAGACACAACAGGAACAGAGAGCTCACTAGAAACACAAATTTAAACCACTACGGGGAAGAGATCTCTTTCAGAATGCAGGCACGCCTCCCAGACAGCCATCATACCACCCCAAAATCCTTTCAGGAAGTTAGATAATTCTTCATTTGCTAAACTAGACAACGTGTCAAACGGCTGCATTCCAACAGCCACTGAGACACACCTCCACAGGAACGATACTCTATTCAGAGAGCTTGGGGGAAAAAAAAATCATGTTACCTCGGAACAGAAATCCCGCAGAAAGACTGTTGCTTACGTCAGAGGCAGCACACAAAGTATATCCTTGGTTTGGGCTGACATTCCAGTCTTATCAATGTCTCTGATCTAAAGTCTCTGCTAAGCACTTTGTCTGAAGCTTTGTCTGAAGTGAACAACAGTATCATTTAACTCACCAGCTCCCAGAGTCCAGAAACACCAGTCACCTCTGCCATTCGCATTCCAGATATTCTAGCTATTATCACTGAAACGGTGGGGTCCACACATCTGTCCCTTCCCAGTTTCAAAAGTAGGGAGACCAGGGTGCAAACCTCTATAAACCCCAGTCCTGAAACTCCAACCCCATGGGAAAGAAGGTTAGTAACACATTTGCAAATGAAAGCGCTTGTGGCAAATCTACAAGACATAACGGCCCAAATGCTAAACACCCTGCCGGTCAGCCTGAGCAGCCAGAGGCACGCAGGAGACAAAGGACAACAAAGTTTTGAGTTTGCCATTATCGTTTTGTTCCCCAAAAGCTGTAACGTGAGAGGTTAGGAGAAAGAAAGCTCATTCTAGAAGACGGTCCAGAAAAGAACAATGTCAGGACAACTCTTACCAAGGTAAGTGCCTGAGAATCTTCCCTCTGTGGTCAAACCCTGCTGCAGAACAACCCTGAATCAGGAGGACTCCAGCTTGTGCCTCTGCTTTGCTGCAAATTCACATGTGGGGCAGGGACCAAGGCACAGAGAAATGGCAATAGGAGGGGTAGGAGGTGGCTACAGATAATCAAGGAGGAAGTATGAATCAAGTCACAACAGGTTGAAGAGGAGCTTTTTTTTTTTAAACAAGGAATGCAAGACAAACTGGGATTACCCTTCCCTCAGACTTACCGCAGCTACCTAAAACTACCCCCAAAACTCTTTTTTATGGAGGTCCCATCACTAAATCTCCGAGGGTTAGTGTAATTAAAATAATATGGATATTAGTTTACAGAGAAAATCCAAATGCTTGTGACCCTGAATGATCAGGTCTTTCCTTGCAGTGAGCCATGGGCCTATTGACCCTATTTCAGATTTCTGTAAATGCTGTTTCTGGACAGGATAGCAAGCTCTGGCCATTCAGATATGAGAGAGCTGCCAGACCTACTGTGGATTACTCAGTCAGCTGAGGACCTTGCAGCTGTACTGCATAACTAGGTAATTTCTGTGGCTTTATCATGCAAAAAACACATCTTGTGCTCAGGACATAGTCAAGGGCCACATCTAAAACAATTCAGCAAAAGCAACCAAGTCCTGCTAATAATATAATCAAGACAGTAAGAGCCAAGAAGGAATGCAAGTTTAACCGAGGTCAACAGAAAACTACACATACTGCGAACATTCAAGAAGTTTGGTGCTCCTTCTCTTTACAATGCCAGCTGCCATGGCCACTTGGGCCTGGCATATAGCAGATACCCCCACAACCCCATTAGAAAGACCCTTCCTCAGCCCAGCTGCAAAGACATCAAAGGGGAAAACAGAAAGACCACTACCTGCTACTTCCACAATGTGGTGCCTGGCGATATCATAGTAGGGATCATCCCACCGCAGGTGAGTGATGGGCTCAGGGGAGCCTTTGGAGTCCTCTGCACAAAACACAAGGAACAAGCAATTAGAAGAAGGGATCTGGAGCACCTTAGCGATAGAGGGATAGAGCGACAGAGATAGAGGGATGAGGAAAAAATGGCTCTTCAACATGGGAGGGACTAATGTATGCGCCCATCCACCCCGGAAACCCACCTTTGAAATTCTGAGGGGGCAAGAGCAGCAATGACTTCAGAAGAGACCTGTCAATCCTATGAGGTCCATACGTGTTCCTCAGACTGTACATCCTCTCAAAAATGACTGTTCAGATATGTCACAAACATTCACAAAGACCAAAACCCAAGTGCCAAGGGCATCGTCATGACTTTTTAGAGCAGGAGGATCTTAACATCGTCCCTTGATGGATGGCCATCCTATATGCCCTTCAGCTAATTTCCTGACCTCTTTGGGCAGGATTTCACAGCAACAACTCAGATCTCCAGCCCCACCTCCCACATGGAAGTTCAAGACCCTTCCACTCAGGAAGGCCAAACTATCCTGCAAGAGACCATAACAGAGGGCACTCAAGGACTTACAGCATGTCTGTACTGTCAGCACCAAAGTGCAGCCAGCCACAGGACTGAGAAGAGTATATTTACATCAGCTGGCTCTGAGCTTTTTAGTGCTGCTCAATAGCAGGGCTAATTCACTTGGGTGTGGTGCAAGATTAATGTGTCTATAAAGCTTTCAAATGGAGCTGGGGCTCTCTGTATATGTAGATATGACCACAATGCTGCAGGACAAACAATTCCTTTTTGGCCAAAACCCAGACCCCAGACAAGCAGGATACTTACCTGATTTGGGAAAAGCAGGGGCTTCATCTGCTGGCCAGCTCTTATCATCTATGGAGGCCAGTTTGAGCTGGCTGAGGGACTGGTTGGTATCATCCAAGTTCAGGTCATCCTGAAGCTCCGAGAGTGGGTCTGTAGCCATGGTCCCCAAATACCGCAGTTTATTTTGCAGCGTCTAGAATGAGGACTGCAGAGATTGCTAGGTGAGACACAGACATCGCAAGTTTACCTCCCCATAGAGGCTCTTCCTCTTCTCACTGATTTTCCTCAAATCCTCCCTTATCTTTACTTATCCAGAGATCATACTTCCCCTCCCCCTTAACACAGGCAGGAACTCCTCCTCCTCCTCCTCCAAGCCAGGAGCACCGACATATGTCAGACATATGTCAGATTCTTTCGTGCCAACTGCTATCAAAAGCCATCAGGAGCCTGTACCAACCCCCTCAGCGAGTCTCTGCTTGACCACAGCCCTGTCCAGAGTAGTTTCTCCCCTGAAACAGGAGCAGTGGCAAGACGCTGAGGAAGGCGACAGGCTACACCAGCCCCTGCCTGATACACTCACTGTACCAGCTCTGAGCTCCCCCTCCCTCTGAAGGGCTGGCACAAAGCCCAGCTGTTTCCACAGTTGGCCCAGTGCTGGAAGCTTTCCCAGGAATCACCCCCCCTTCTTCCCATAAGGGAGGGCCAGAGCTCTCAACAACACTGAAGTGGGTGCTTCAGTGTGCTGGGATCTGAATACAGAAGTGAACAGCTTCTTAAAACAGGATTTTGTAGGCTGAGCTAGTAAGACAGGGAGAACAATACACATACAACCTTCATCTCCTTTCAGCATCACCCAGCAAATCCTTTCTCCTATATGAGAGCAAGGAATAACCTCTTTAACTTAAAGCCATATTGCTAGAATGAGTATTTTTCACAAAGCATGCCATAATACTCAGGAGACCAAGGAATTAAGAGGGTCCAAGAAACAGACAGCTCAGTATGTTTGCTGTTGCTTGCAAATATTTCTCACTCTCAGCCGGAGCAGAAGATATGTCAAACCCAGGACTGAGCTAGCACAGCATACAGCACCTCCTAAGGGTACCAGTTCGTAGGGATGACCCCCTAGAAAACAGCTTGTTATCCTCTAATGCCAATGTCTGGAAATAAGCAAGGAAACACTGGAAAGGACAAGTACATAGATCTGGATTGCTCACACAGACCACATGGACAACAGGCAGCAAGCCAAGAGGAACTGTAGCAAAACAAAATGACACCTTGCATCAGCAAGACTCTTGTAACACTGCTTCTCAGACAGGCTTGTGCTTGTTTTGCATTACGAGGAGAGCAAAGGGTTCACAGATGATCTAAGGAGGCACAACGCCTTTCTGTGGAAAGATTATATTCACAGTAAAGTTATTTCCTTTAGCAGAACGGAGGGGGGCAATGATGTGTTGCATCTTCCATCCCTAGAGCTTGAATGTGTGTATTTATCCAGAGAAGATGATGAAACAGTTACTCGGGTGTGAGCATAGAGGACAAAAACTGTGAGAGACTGAGCATCGGAAGGCGTCACATCCATGCTTGGGGCAACACTTGTGACCAAGCTTGGGGATGCATTTTCAGAGTACAGGAAATTGGATATTCAGTGTTTGTCCCCTCCCTCTGGATCATTCCATGCTTCTTGCTTCCTGTCCTCCCTTATCTTCTACTCACCAGTTTACAACCAGTTTTCACCTCTCTGGGGCTCCCAAAGGGCTGGGAGCTATTGCTAAGCAAATGAAGGAACTTTCCCAAAATATGAAAGAGCAAGACATATATGGGCAGCAGATCACCAAGAGAGCATAGCAAACACACAGGGTCTGACCACTGCAGCCAAGCAGAGACCCAAGCAAAATTATTCCCTGCCCTCCAGTGAAGGCCGCGAGAGCTGCCTGACCTCCTCTGATCTTGAAGGGACAAGGAGCAAGAAATCAGGTTACCTTGCACCGTGAGCTCATGCTGGAACCACGCAGCAGCAGAGCCAAGGGACAAGGACTCCCCACCCCTAGCAGCTGATCCGATTTCTATGGTAACACCAAGCACCAACTCCTATGAGTCAGTGTGCTTAAAGCATTCCCCACTGCAGTTCAGCAGCCCCACAACCCAGCACCCCTTGCTGAGGAAGCATCTGCAGCCCCCCCCAGGGCAGCCCCTCAGACCAGTTATCCTCAGGGTACTCAGCCCCCTGAGCTGGAAGACAGGGACGGCAAGCAGGATAAACCCCCCATAATCCAAGAGGAAGCAGTTAACCTGCTACGCCACCTGGATGCTCACAAGTCTATGGGGCCAGATGGGATCCATCTGAGAGTGCTGAGGGAGCTGGCGGAGGAGCTCGCCAAGCCACTCTCCATCATTTATCAGCAGTCCTGGTTAATGGGGGAGGTCCTGGACGACTGGAGGCTTGCCAATGTGACGCCCATCTACAAGAAGGGCCGGAAGGAGGATCCGGGGAACTACAGGCCTGTCAGCCTGACCTCGGTGCCGGGGAAGATTATGGAGCG